TTTGGGCTTGGACGCTTGGCTTTTTATTTTAACTTTTCTGTATTTTTCAGGTTTTCAAGAATTCTAAAATCAGGAAAAAATTGTATTTGTTAAGTAAAAGTTAGGGGTACTTATCTGGGCAACCTCTTCCCAGCCAGAATGGTTGAGGCCAAAGGCTATTTGAGGGGGGAAGTCACTGAGGAGACCATTCTTTATATTTGAACAACAGTGTCCCTGGAGCTTTTTTCAAAGATCTCTACCCTGTTCAGCTGGGAGGCCCACGGGAGAATGGTACTCGGGAAACAGGTCCTGATAAGGACTTGACTTGACTCTGGGTGTGATGGGAAGTCATTGAGGGGTTTGAAACTGGGAATACCGTGATCTTGCATATGAGTTCCTGTGTATAGAGTCAGCACTGGGGGGCACGACCATAGCAGGGAGGTTCATTCACAGGAGGCTGTAGCCGTCCAGATGAGTGGTGATGTGGCCTGGGTCAGGGTAGGGGCTGTAGACGTGGTGAACCATGGTTGAACTTCTGCTGAGAGTGGAGCCAGTGGTACTGGGGGATAGCCTGGTTGTGGGGCTTTGGAAAGGAAAGAGTCGAGGATGAGGCCGAGGACATCAGCCTGAACATCTGAGTGCAGCTGGCATTATTTACTGAGTGAGAAACACGGGGGGGATCCAACTCCTTGTGATCAGGACTCAGGTTTGGTTCCCCGTGTGGTTCTGTCTGTGAAGGGAGGCATTGGGGACCCTGCAAAGTGTGTTCTATTCNGGAAAGGCTGTTAGGAAGGGTGAGAAATTAGATCAACAGGCTTCTCAGCTTTCAGTGGTGATGCCACGTGGGCACGTGGATGTGTGAAGCTGGCGTTCAGGAGAGAGACCTAAGGAGGAGATATACACCTGGAAACATTCAACACATAATAGTATTTACAACCATAGGGCTAGATAAGATCTCTTAGAGAGGGGGAGGAGACAGAGAAGAGGCTGGACACCTCGCCGCTTACAGGATGGATGAGGAAGACCCAGCCCAGGGAGAGGAGCAGCCAGAGGGAAGGAAAGCCAGGGGCCCGTGGTCTCCTGGAAGCCAAGTGGGGAAAGTATATCATATGAGGTATGATCACAAAACACAGTGAATTTTTAAATTAAAAAAAAAAATTATTGGGCCTGCCGAGTGGCTCAGTTGGTTAAGAGCTCGCTCAAGAGTGTGAGCTCTGAGCAACAGTGGTTCGGGTCCCGGCCTGAGCTGAGCTGCTGCTGAGCTGCCAACAGGTGGCAGGATGGCCCAGCTAAAAAAAAAAAATTACCGTAAAAGACAAATTGCCATTAATCCCCCTCAGAATACTCCCCTTCGCTTTGAACACGCTCATACCATCATTCTTGCCACGTTCTGAAGCAGCTCTGACGTCCTCTTTCGTGAGCGTCTTTAGTTGTGCTGTCATGGGTGCCTCCATGTCCTGAATCAGTTCAAAACATTTTCCTTTCATGATCTTTTTTGACTTTGGGGAGAACCGGAAGTCGTGTAGTGCCACATTCATTGAATAAGGTAGGTGAGGACACACCGTCATGTTTGTATTTGACAGAAATTGCCGTACAGAAGCGATGTGTGACACAGAGCGCTGTCATGATGGAGGATGAAGTAAAGACACTCACGAAAGAGGACTTCCAGAACTGCTTCAGAAAGTGGCAGGAATGATGGTGTGAGCGTGTTCAAAGCAAGGGGGAGTGTTCTGAGGGGGAATTAATGGCAGTGTGTCTCTTACGGTAATAAATTTTTTTAAATTTAAACATTCACCATATTTCTCGATCACACTTCATAACTGCTATACAATAAGTAAGATGCTGAGATTACATTATTGCATTTTGTGACAAGAAGGTCATTGGTGACCTTGATGAAGTTTCTATGAAATAGAGGGGGTGGAAGCCTGATAATATCTCTCAATCAGAAGAGAAAGCTAAAACTGAAAAATTTGACTAACTACTATGGAAGAGTAAGAGAAGCAAAGAAAATCTCATATGCCCAGGAATACAAAAGCTCATGGAGTACGTACAGGTTTCTGGATCTTCTGTGGCTGTGTTGTCCCATGTCTTATAGGCCCCAAATCATTCTCTGGCCTGTTTAGAAAGAAATCTACACTTACGCTCCAACTTTGCAATTGTCTATCTCTTTTGCACTGAAGTTGATCACCTCAATTTCTCTCTCTCTCTTCTATAAAAACCAAGAACCAAGCTCACCTGCCCTTTATCTAGCTCCCTCCTTCCCAGGTCTTCTTTTAGGTGCATGACAGACAGGACCATAAGGTGGGATGCAATGCATGATGCTGCCCTTTTGGGGACCCCATCCCCTTCACACAGGGAGTAATGGGATCCCCTAGAGGCCCAGCATGAAAGCCACACCTTCCATCTCATGTCACCTGACGAAGTCTTGTGGCATGAAGACTCATGCCATAGTGGGAGCACCTTTAGGTCACCTAGCAAGATGCCCAAAGTAACTGAGCTACCACGTGCAGGGAGAGTTCTAGGAAAATACATGTTCTAAGTCTGCATTTCAGAACACTTCTTCCCCTGCTGCTATGGATTCAGAGCTTCCTCTTACTCTTGCTAGCAGTCACTCCCCACTTAGCTAATAGGAGGATTACAGATGCTTCAGAGTGTGGCTGGAGGTCCCCAAACACTGGGATGAATGGTTGAACCAGGCTGGTGAGAAGAAGATTTGGGCTGGTAGAGCTGGTTTGTGTAAGGGGAATAGCCCCTGGGAGCAGGGAACAGAGCTTTGTAGGGGCCAGCTTCCTGGAGCTAAGACGCCTCCAGGTCCTCCCAGAGTCTGGCCGCCTGCCTTCTCTGCCACCACCACCAGGCTGCCCACCAGGGTTTTCCAGCTTTCTGGCCTACTGAGAATCAGAATAGTCTCACCATTTTCAGAACTCTCTGGCTCCTAAAACAAACATGCGGCATTTCTGACATTTTCTGAAGAGTTTTTGCTTCAAGTAGCAAAAGGTCAACAGTTTAAAGTTTTCTCCTAAAAAATGCCTGTGTTATAATGCTCAGTGAAAAAAAAAAGAAAATGGTCGGAGTACAATGCATTGTTTAATCTACATTCTCCATTATAGACAAACAAACAGGCCAGACTGGAAAGGTAGTCCCACAATATTAACCGTGATTGCCTCTGAGTTATAAGTGATGCTTTTCCCTTGTTTTTCTTTATTCTCTAAACTTTTTACAGTATGCATCTATTACTTTTATAACTAAAAAGAAGTAAATGTAAACATTTCTTCCAAAGTCCAGTTCTCTTTTTGTCTGCTTTTACCATCAGCCAGTGGGTCCCCAGAGAGCAGCTATCAGAGCATTGGGTCCTACAGAGAACGGTAGGACTTGGTGTGGCCCGGGCGCTGGCCACAGGGCCAGGGTGGGATGGTGGCGAGAGGAGAGCTAAAGCTGCTGCCTGGGCGAGTGCTGCCCAGGATGGCCACGCCATTCTTCCTGCCTTGTTCCTGACAGGGTGGCAGGGCTCACACTGCTGATAGCAAAGATATTCCAGAGGCCATCATATATTAGGGACATTTGTGTCAGGACTAATGTGTGTTTTCTCTCTTGACTGCCCAGTAGCCCTGCAAGGTAGGCAAGAAGGATATTCTTGACTTTCAGCTAGTTATGAGGAAACTGATGTCTGAGGGGTTACACTGCCAGTACATTTCATCGTGGGGACCAGAAACTGAACCCTTATTTTCTTACACCAGTCAGCGATAGTTTTCAAATCCTTTAAAACCATAAAATCTGTGTAGAAACAAAATTTGACACAAATGTGAAAAGCATAAAATTGGAGTAGGGATGAGAAGTAAGGATGCCCGTTTCCCACAGGGAGGGGCATGTGTCGAAGGGGAGGGGCTCTCTCTGATTCCCAGTGTGCAAGGAGCAAAGATGGAAACCCACTGGCTCAACCCATGCAGGGCTATGAGGGATGGGAAGAGGACATCGAAGCCCGCAGAGGCCATGGAAAAGGTAGCAGGACCATGGGAGGTGCTTCAGGCAAGTTCGGGGTCAGACAACTCTAGAGGAAACTTGCTCATAGTTCAGTGTTATGTAATGTTGCAGAGGGGTGAAGAGGGGTAAAAGATGACTGACACCAAGCAAGAGCTGAACTTGGCAGCAAGAGGCAGCCCTCATCGGTTCTGGAAGTGTCTCCCGAGTGGGAGACAAATGAATCTGTACAGGAAACTGGTGTATAAGGAGTATGTGGATTGAAAATTCTCTGCTTGTTCAGTGTTTTCCTCTAAAAGTGAACAGAAACAGGACCAGCCAGGAGGGTGTGCAGGCATTAAAACAGTATGGCCCTGATCCCAATTTGGGAAATGAAGAGAAAGAAACTCATGCACCAGGCCAGATGAGGGATTGGTGGGAGTGCGAAGGAAGACAAGAAGGATGTGTATTTCTTTGGCAGGGCATGCTTGCAGCCTCACCTAATTGAAGAGAGAAACCCTTTTCTCTGAGAAAGCAAACTGGAGGGTCTGTTTGGTGAGGCTAAGTCCAGGTGCTCTGGACTGATGGCCGCCATCTTGTCTGAAGCTGGAAGTGAGCGCATTCATGGAAGACGAATGTGGAAAGGGAGACAGAGGTACTGAGAACTGTCTTTATAGCATGTTAGGACATCTAACACAACTTTCTTCTGCCAGCTCAGCAGGACAGAATTTATCCATTGCTCTCCCAGGTTGTCACTGGTCACAGCCATCCTCCCCACCTACAGCACCGTCATGGTGTGTCTAGAAATCTCAGGTGGGAGGCTGTGTGTTTGTGTGTGTCTGCACCTAACTCAAGAGCTGCTTCCAAAACTTTGATTATGGGTATCCTTGACTCAGTTCAGTTAATTTTTATTGAATTCCAAATGTGTGCTGAACGCTTTGCTTGCCCAGCTTCCAATAGCTATTAATCTTTAAACTCTCCACCGACTTTGTGACTCCCTGACCTGCTTTCTTGCTAGCTATAAGTGCCTTCAGACACCCTGTCTCTGCAGTGCCTGGCTTATTAATCTTTGCCAGTCCTTTGGCCTAAGGCCATGTTGGACACCATAATCCTCAGGCTTGATTGTGGCCTGGCCTCTGCTTGCAGAGCTCACTGCTACTGCCTGGGTTCCAGCAGGACCCAAGAGGCCTGCCGAGGGCCATCTTCCAGAGGATCTCCATAGCCTGGGAGCCCAAGGGAGGTGGCCCAGGGCTGTGGGTTGATGCTTCAGGTTATATACTAGCTGAAGAAGAGAAAGCATCAAGTGCCGCTGAGGGCAGCTTGACAGAAAGTGGAAGGAAGTAGGGGTTTCTGGCAGACAGCGTGATGGAAGACCACTGTTGAGTTCTAAAGATGGAAAGTAGATGTCTGAGTGTGTCTGTGGTGGAGTGAGGGAGTCTGTGAAGAAGTTGTGGTTCATGAATCTGCTTTGTATCTCAAGGCCACACGTGAAGCTCTGTCTTGTGTGGTGAAGCCTGGAGGGCCACTTCTCCATTTTACCCTGCATAGGGGTCACCTGGGAGCTAGTGGAAATGCAGGTTCCAATTCGGGAGGTCTGGGTCCAAGAGCGGAATTTCTCACAGCACTATTTATGACCCTTGTGATGAAGCTTGTGCCTGGATTGTACTTTGAGTACCAGGGCGTCATGGAAACTCAGAGGCACGGCTGATGGGGGACTGTGCTGAGAGAGGCCGAGGAGACTCTAGAATGAGGCCTGTTTAAGGGTCCTCAACATGAAAGCTAAAACTGTCGAGAGTAATGGCTGGCAGTGGAGTGAAGAAATCTGGAAACCCAGGTGCAGAAGGTAGGTGGTGCCAGTGAGACCCCCTCTGTGGAGTCCTGGACTGCAAACGTGCATTTTGATCTGATTCGAGAATTGTGGGAATTTTTGAAATGTTCGTCTTCTTCACTGCAGTCATGATTCTTTTTTGACCAAAAGCCACATGGTGAAGCTAGTTGGCTCTGTATGACTGTCTATTATTTTGGTGAATAGTAATACTTTTGTCTTGGGAGAGTCCATTTATGAGTATAAAGAGCTGGTTATTTGCTGGGGAGCAACTTGTGCATACTGGCTATCAATGTCCTGAATTTTAGACCCCTTGGCTGTTTGTGTCTATACTGTAGGCTTTGGCTTTCAGAGCAGTGATATATGTATATATGTGGTGTCATATACATATTTACATACCTAAATATACATATTTTAGGTAAATATTAAATATATATCAACATTAGTGTATAAATACCAGAATCTTAAGCTAAATGGTAATTTAAAGACTAGCCCCATGCTCTGATTTTTATATGAACTATTAAGAAGCAAGACAAACAATATATACCATGGGCATGCTCATGTTTAGAAGTCTTCTTGGTTCATTTACGATCTGCAGGACTAATCTAAACCACAGTATCACATTTGATTATGAATAGGATATGAAGAGGGACTGCTTTCCTTTTGAGAAAGGAAAAAGTGGCTCCAAACATAATCGTAAGGTTGAATTTTATGTTTCCATGGTCACCATCTGTTGGCACAAGCCTCCAATTCCATGGAAGGGTCACCTGTTATGTAAATAGTATACACAGGCTGTGATTTTGTAATTTTTAGTATTAAAAAAAACCCCAAAACCCATACTATTCATTCTTGTAATTACTTTTTCAGAAAATCCCTCTTAATTATTACAAAGCAAAATAGCCCTTTCCTTGTGTGTAGAATGGACATTTGAAAGTGACACGGTTCTGCTAACCCTGTTTATCCTGAAGTCAGTGTCCATTTGTGAGTGTCAGCTGCCTGGAGTGGGGAGGGGGAGCACAGCTCAGAGAACAAGGTCTGTCTTTTGAATAGTTTGCCTCTATCTACTTGCTATTCAGGGATGGCAACAAAGCTTTTTATGGCTACAAACACAATGTAAAGTTGTTCTAATAAATACATGCCGTTCAACTAAGTGAATGGTGAGGACTCGTGATTGCTTAGCTGGTGGAGATAAGGGGGAAGGTAGCAAAGGAGACCCTTCTGCCAATAGATCTGCCAAAACTAGATGTGAACTGCCTGCTGAAAAGGTCTGGAGAGCATGCAGGTACATCCACTAAGCTTCTAGCAGCCATTGTAGGGCCCACCATAGGAAAGCACGAGTGATGGCCCGCAGAGGCAGCCGGCTCAAGTGCGAAGCACCCCTTGATCCAGCAGAGCCTGAAGCTGCATCTTCGGTTGTGAACACTGCCTTGACCAGTGTTCTATGATATGCTGCGGCACAGTTCTGTTTCTTGCACGTTCTCTGGGATTCTTGTTTGCACGTAAATCAGGCCACATGCTTGAGGACCACCACGTGAAAGCACTTTGGGAATACCCCAACTTAAAGTTATCACACTGTTCTCTAGCAAGTGTAGTGGGATAAAGGATATGTCCATATACCCCCATCTCCAAAATAACACAAAAGTATGGCGGGGGTCATACATGATTTATTGTCTGTAAAGAAAGTGGACATGAGTTAAATGGCAGGTGAGATCTGAGCAGGAATAACATATTCCCTGCTCCCCAGTGGCCCCACCTGAGAGGGAGAAAGACAGAGAGAATACTTACGGTGAAGGCAGTGGAGGAAGGCAGCCAAGTGGGAAGGGTGGGTAGGTTTAAAGAGATGTGTACCGTGCTTATGTGAGATGTGTTTTTGTCTCAAACACACCTTATTTTTTCCTGCCTCTGACCCTCACTCTCAATATTCTCCTTCTAGGAATCCTTGCTTCTCCTTTCCATCTCTAAAGCTCTCTGCATGAGCTTTAAGATACAACCCTCCTGTTGCCTCCCGATAGCATCCCTGGGCTGCCCCAGTCTAAGTAAAAGCTCTCCTGATCACTTTTTAGTCCAGTTCGTGGGGCATTCTGTCCCCATGGCTTCTGGGAAGGCAGAGAATTGCGTGCCTATCGTGCAAGGGCAGTCACCCCACTGTACCCGGGGTGGAGCACCATATCCCATCCCGGTGGGTGAGTTCATTTGGTCGATGCTTGTTGAACATCTGTGTTACCTTGTGTCAGGCTTTGTTCTTGTGCTGCAGGCGATGAGTGAGAGAGGAAAGTGGCCAGCCCCTTGGAGCACAGAGTCTAGCTGGAAATACGGGTAGGAATAAGATATTACAAGCAGGGGAGACAATACCAGAATGGTGGACGTGTGCAGAGCTTGAGAGCAAATCGGACGGGCACTCAGCCCAGCCCAGACTGATGGGGAAAGATTCCCAGAGGAGGTGACATATAAGTTGCATCTGAAGAATTAGGCATCAAGTATAGAGATGTTCATTGAACATATAGAAGGTATAGACATGTTCATTGAACATACAGAACACATTTAGAAAAGCTTGTCAGGCTCAAATGTGCAACTACCTGGATTTCAGTTCCTTTCCTGTAAGATTATGTTAAACCCCTCAGCGCTCAGAAACACTGTCTCTGTTTTCTTCCAGATCTGACTGGGCTCAGGGCTGACCTCAGGGCTCAGGATGACAGACACCGTTCCGGTGAATAGTGTGAGGAGGACTCGGGGTATCAGACCTCTGAGGTCTGCGGAATGCATCTCAGTTTACTGATTATTTAGAGGACTTTAAAAATAAAAGAGTATATAAGTGATATGTGATGATTGGGAGTGGGACAACAAAGAAAACATAGCAACCTAAATGCTGCCAGCCAGGGGCAACCCCTTGTAGCATTTTTTTTTATATCCTCCCAGTGTTTTTCTGCAAGCATATCTTTTTTTTTTTTTTTCCTTTTAAATGTGGGATCCTACTGTCCTATCCATCTGGGTCTGCAACCTGCCTTTTGTAGTTAATATATTGTGACCATATTGAGCATTTCTTAGTGGACAGGCTTTGTAGTGAAGTTAATTCTAAGTGACATCAGTCATAACGCCTACAGTTTGTTTTGTGAGTTCAACTTCGGGAAGCAATAAACAGAGACGAAGAGGATCGTTTTTCAAACTTTTTATTTTTGCGCAGGCGGTGTTGGTGGCAGGGACACTGGTAGTTAAAGGACAAGTGGGTGAATGAAGAACTCTACCTGGAAGTGATGTTTTAAAGCTTATTTTCTAAGACATCTGCTATGGAATGATACATATCACTAATCATTGGTTTTATTTACCGAACTGTTCCTGGGGAAACCAGCTGGTTTTAAATTAGAGGGTATCAAAGACTAAAGTTTGCATGTACTTTTTTTCCTAGAAAAAATTTCTTTTTCCTAGCTTAGTTGATATTTTACTGAATTAATCATTTATTTAGGCTTTTAAACTAGTCTATGCAAAAAATGCCTTATGCAATGCTTTTTTTTTTTTTTTTAAAGCACTATTTATTTATTTTTACGAAGCTGAAAAACACACTTCACATGTGGGAACAACCAAAGAATGGATTGGGTTTCCTTTGAAGACTCATAATTGAGTTTCACATTTTTGAGTAGTGACTCTGGGCCTGAGGTGCCACAGATGAGACAGGCCCTCGAGGTCACAGGTCTAATGAAGAGGCAGAGCGACAGCATTGTCTGGAAATGCTCTGCTCAGAGTTTGCCTCCTGGAAAAGGTCGTGGGTGTTAGAGGTGAGTCTTGAGGGTTGAGACTTAGAGGTGAGGAAAGGTGGTTGTGACACGCCAGGCAGAGGAGAGAGCAGGGAAAGGCGTTAGAGGTGGCCACAGGCAGCACAGCATCGCTAGCTCTGCAGTGTGAGACCTAAAGGAGCTGGAGTAGAGCTGGCAAAGATCAAGTAGGACGCGGGGCTGTATGCTGCTGGGTAGACATCCTAGAGACTGTCACAGAGCTGTTCTCCAGGATGCAAGTCTGAAGGCTTTGCTTAAAGCTGTAAATAAAGATTCAGGAGCTTCTAAAGCTCCTGTGCCTCAGTCATCTCAGTGGTGGAACAGGGAGGGACTGACCAAGGATAAGGCAGGAACAGCTTATCTCAGCACAGTCCCTGGCACACAGTAGATGTTCAATTAACATTCAATTACAAAATAAAGTCAAAATAAAGTAAAAAAAAAAAGAACATTCAATTAAAAAATAAAGTCAAAAGAGGGTTGAAGAACAGCTAGAATGCAACCGAGGCGGACAACCATGGATTTATCATGGTATCATGACGCGTGTGTGATTTTTCTTCAGTTTCTGGACTCAGAGATATATATGTTAAGATAGAAAGATGGAAAGTAACCCAGTGTGTTGGTCTTTTCCTGAGCAGTTGCAAGTTTCAAGAATGGAAGAGAGTGAAGGATACTGTTAAGAGAATGGTTAGGTGTTATCCACTAGGAAAGGAAGTGGGGTTCAGGGGTGCAAGAGGATGGAGGTAATCAGGGTTGAAAAGGTGGGACTGTCACTTTTTATTATGTGTCCATAATATATACCAAAAATACATTTTTCCTCATTTTTAGATGATATTCCTATATTGTTAAAGTTTCTGTGAGATAAAATAAGAAGCAGCCTAAACTTCCAGAAACAACAAAATACAAATTCGAGTTTAAGGTGGTGATGAAAGAAAACTATACATAATGTCCTTCGGAATTTCTGATATCACATTTCACTTGGGTAGATGTGGCTGGGAGAATTCTCAATGTCCAGCACAATATTAAAAAGCATATCTAGTTATTTCTCCCTTTTGAGACTAGAGGACTGCTGAATGCATACTGATGACTATGGCATGCACTCACCCATTCAATGTGTGAGAACCTACTATGTGCTGGTCCGTGTGGGGTACCGCTTCTGTCCTGAGTGCCATGAGTAACTAGGAGGCATGGGAGAGATTGCCTGACCATCAGACTGGTTTTTAGTTTCATTTAGGCAAAAAGGTCAACTAATCT